ACATGAGCAGTTTTTGCAGTGTAGTGGGGTGCAGCGTCCTCCTGAGGAGGGCGCCTGGTTTACAGCAGTGTTCCTGTGGTGGTACGTGTCAGAGTCACATCTGCATGGAAACAGGCCCAGAGGTGTCCCAGCAGAACACTGCATTGTAACGAGATTATCAGTGTTGTTCACTTTGTGTATATTTTTGTGCTACTGGCACCTCAAATTATCCCACTTGTCTGCCATGCTTTTCTCAATCTTCTGTTACAGAAGCCATTTTCTTTTTCACATAAGCTCTTATTGGCAGCTGCTGCTCACTCTGTGTGAAGTTTGTGACACACGTGCTCTCCATTTCAGCATCAGTAAATCTGTGGTCTGACTCAAGGATGTAGGTTGTGGCTCAGGATTCCCCTCCTTCCACTATCTGTGTGTACCATTTTCTTTGCCCTGGGAAACAACAACAACAACCTCTGGGCAACAACCCCCCATACTGAAAATAAAAACAAAACTGAAAGTTTTCCAGAGGATTTGGATCATGCAGTAAGGCAGCTCTAATAATTTATTTTTTTTTCAGTGAATCATCCTTTTTAATACAGTTCTCATCTCCCTGAGTGCAATTGTTCCACCACAACAATTCCACCTATCACTATGTTGAGGAAACACTAAATTGTTTTAAAGCAATGCAAACAAGGCAGCATATTTCTGAATGATAGTGGGATGCAGCCAGACCCTCATGTTCTACACAATGGACTGACTAAGCGAGACTAGTAAAGCTGTGATCAATGTCAAAGTCTATCGAAGAAAAGCCTGAACACACATTTATTCAGTTTACTTACATCTGGCCTCACTGAGTCGCACCTGCACCACAAAAATAAAAGCAGAATAGGTAAAGGTTTGCTTTTTCTGTCATCCTGAAATTCTGAATTCTGCTTTTGTGAAATAGCTCATATGTGTTGCAGCTGAAAATAAAACTAGTGCAGGCTTGAGTACTGAAATATTGAAGTACTGAAGACAGGTCAGGAAAGACAGAAAAGACCGAATAGCTTGTTAAAATGTAGTAATGAACATTTTTTTAAAAATCAATTTGAACTTCTGTAAATGATATTAGACTGATTACACTGATTTGTAGACATATATTGGACCAATATTCCTCTTTCCCTGAAATAACAGCAGATTTTTCAGCTAATACAGTTCAGTTTTACCTCTAACAAATAAATATATTATTAACAAATACGGTGGAATCTGAATTTACTTTTTTGTCACGCATGTATGGAATGCTATTTCTGGGACCAAATCATATCGTTTATGCAATAAACAACTATACACTTGAAATATACTGCCAAGATTTACTTTAACACTTCATGGGTTTTACAGCGGCGGAGCACGTCCATGTGCTGGCAATTTTATAGACCTTAAATCAGCATCTAATTTCATAGAGAGGGGATATAAATATTTATCAAGGCTTATTGGCTCAACTTGAAAGACAGAGGCTGAGAAAGGCTGAGTCTCCTTTATTTCTGTTTCCTCTGTGTATTTCTTAAACATCCCTATTTGTAATTTTGGGATTATTTATTTATTCATATATTTATTTTACTTTAGGCGTCAACATTAAAAAGACCTGTGCAAAAAAAAATTACACAAGTCATCATATTATAATACTAATTCTTAATTAGTCGTTTTCTCTGTTCAACTGAACGTCACATGGTTTCAGTCATTTAAAGTTCATATGTAATTGATGCCATCCATGATTTGATTTCCTGGGAGGTGGCATTCTGTTTTGTAAAATCAAGAAATTAAAAAAAAAAGAGAAAGAAGAGGGCATGTCATAACCAACCAACTTTAACAGAGCTGGTTTCCTACAGAAACATGCATGGTCTGTAGATATTTTCATGTCTACTTCTTCCAACAGTTATTTTCTCTTTTCTCATCTCTATTCTCAGAGGTAATCGTTAGAACTTCCTCGGGTTCTGTATTTTTTCCAGACCACGGTCTGTGTTCTCTCCTCGCTTGCTGTAGTTTTGCAGTGTGAGTAAACATAAGGGACCAGCGCACATCTCCCCTCCGGTGGAATATTGATTCCTTAGCGCGGTGTGGCAAGGAAGAGCACATACTGTGACCGTTTCACCTCGCTCCACAAAATAGGTCTATGAGGAGGCTACCAGGAGAATAGCTGCAGTTGGATCAGCAGGTTGATTTGGAAGCTTCTTGCTGCCTGGTTTGGATTTTTAGAGTGTTTCTCTCTCGCCGAGGGTTTGTTTGATACAATAACACACAGTTCCTCTGTGTCTAGTGAAGTAACAGGACCTTTAATCAAAAACCCTGAAAAGTGGAATTTCTTGAATAATAATAAAGACTGATAAAACAATGTCCAGTCCTGTATAAGAGGTTGACTTGGCTCTTCTTGAAAGTCCAGAAAATAATACAAACAGCTTTAAAAAGAGTGTTCATGGTTAAAATGGCATCAGCTTGTTACAGTAGCATGCCATCTTTTGTAACCTCTGTAAAAATCTTTATAGTGTTGTTTGAAGGCAGAGAGTAACCGGAACAGGGAAGCTGAGGAAAAAGGGGTTGTTGCTTGAAGGCTGTAACAGATGTATGTCCTAAAACCTTCATATCTTAACTCTATATCTACCATTTAGCCTACCCTTTTTTAATATATAATTTAACTCTAATTGTAACAAACCTTCCATAAAAGCACAAAAATCTACCAAAATGAGTCCTTGATTTTTCTTCAGTTTTCACCATTATAACTAATGAGACAAATTAATAAATGAATCTTTAGCAGACCTACTTAATTTGACAGTACTTAAGTACAAATGCTACTAGAATCAAATGCTACAGGGCAGAAGGGTTGTGCTGCTAAGCTAGGCAAACTACCATAGCTTTTTAATTCATCCATCATTTTAATTTAGTTTTATTTATGTGGTATCACAAAATCAGTTCTAAAGAATTGTATTTTTTCTGTTAACAAAGTGAAAAATAGAAAAAGTGAGTGTATTAGCTTTGCCTAAAGCTAACTGTTGGCCTTGGCACAGTCAAGAAGTCCGTTTTTAAATAAAGAAAGTGACTATTTCAGTGCACAGAACAAGGGCAGCGAGAGGTCTTTATGGCACATGAGAACTATCTAAATATGCAACATTAGAACTAGCTAAATGTCAACAACCTTTCTCTAGAATCTAAATTTAACTTATTTTGACTGAATATTGCTGCATTTTGGCTTTATAGGGCAGAATAATGTGCTGTTTTGCACTTAGTTGGCCTACACAGAATGTAAATCCACACCATTCACATAAACCAGAAAATGTAAAATCTCTCTTTCTGGGACTAAGTTTGTGTGACTAAAAGTTACAACTTCCTCACAGTATACAATCTGTTAACTGCAAGAGCACAATCACTCTGAAAGCTAAGGTGGGTCTCCTCACAGCCATTAAACCAAACAAAATAAAAGACTATCAGAGTTACTATGCAGTGGATTTAATCTGTCAGGAGCTTCTATGAAATTTTAACTTTTAAACTCACACAAACTGTTTTCACTCAGTTCCACTCTGATTCATTGCTGTGCTCTATGATTCACAATTTCTAGGTTAGTATTTTTTTAAAAACATCTTAGCAGCTGCAATACATGACACTGAGGTTATTTTTTCTGTATTTTTTATTTTTACAACTTGGAGGAAATTTACATTATGAAGTTAGAGTCTGATCATTGTTTCGAACCCAGTTTACTTGCTAAATTAAACAATTCTCTTTATTTTACAGGACTGTAATGGAGAATGTCTGAGTTTGGGTTTTTTTTGTTTGTTTGCTTAAAAAATAATAATTCCAGTTGAGGAAAATGGGGCTCAGTGGTTAGCACTGTCGCCTTGCAGCAAGAAGGTCCCCGGTTCGTGTCCCTATGAGGACGCCTGGGTCTTTCTGCGTGGAGTTTGCATGCATCTCCCTCAGTCCAAGCAGCGTGGGTTCTCTCCGGGTTCTCCGGCTTCCTCCCACAGTCCAAAAAAAATTGTCCGTAGGTGTGAATGTGAGTGTGCTTGGTTGTCTGTCTCTAAGTGTAGCCCTGTGATAGACTGGTGACCTGTCCAGGGTGTCCCCTACCGTTGCCCTAAGTCAGCTGGGATAGACTCCAGCCCCCAGCGACCCTAGTGAGGATTAAGCGGTGTATAGATGATGGATGGATGGATGTTGATGAAAATTGCGTCAATTGTTCTTACATTTCGTACTGGGCCTTTTTACTGTGCAATCCATTATTTCAACAACATAGATTTTACTCTCTTCTTACTTTCTCTGGGTCCATTTTCTGATTTAAAAAAAAAAAAAGAAAAAAATTGTTTAATGTGGTTAAAATCTCTGGAAAAAATGTTACTAAGTGGGTCTTGAATTAAGATGATTAGGTTTTACTCCATAAATGTTTTGTCTTCCCTTTATATGCTCTCTTTCCATGATGTAATTTTATGTTATGACAGTATCAGGTCAAGGGTTGAGACATTTCCACTGTCCTCACTGGACAGAGAAGCTGTGCCATTTAAAATGGGAATTTCTCTAGAAATCTGCATAAAGAAGAATCAAGAAAAGTAGACATGTCAGACCAATAAACAGTTGTAGAGGCTGATGGAGATTGATGGGCTGCTAACCCCTCATTTGTGGGTTGTTGGGACACCTCGCTCCTTGAAGCCTTTATGTAATCCTGGCACTGCTTCAGGCCTGACCTCTGTGAATTCCTGCTGTGTTACTGGATAGCCTGCGGTTACCACTCAGAGTGTAGGTCAAACATATCAGTAAGCCACCATCGGGAACATCTATATCCCCCCCACCTCTCTCTGCTCCAGCGTATACTCTCTCTTTTTGTTGCGTAAGTGTTGCCATGGAAGTGAGTCTGGGTTTCCATGGCGTTGTGCTCATAGTTGTGAGAACATCGTGTTTTGGTCCATATGTCAAAGAAAGGTGACAGGTTATAGATCGAAGATACAGAGGGATGTGTGTTGTTCTGTTCCATGTCAAAGTCCACTGTAGTTGATAGAAACGGATCCTTTAAATGGTTCTTTAATGAGACAAAGCAGGCTACACCAGGAAAAAGCTTGTTTTTTTGTTTTAACAACTGCACTCTTACATACATTTTTTACAGTCATGGACTCCCTTTGTATAACACCACACAAATCTATATATTCAATGGCTTTTTAGAGTTTTACTTGAAAAAATCTTGTTGATATTCTGATATATGTGTGTGTGAATTGCTGTTTTTGTCTTTAAAAGCTTGAGGTTGTGTTCACTTTCCAGGACTGCCCTCCTCTCACCCATCCACGTCGACCTTTGACCTATAACCTTCCGAGGGGAGAGGAATTCACAACAAAGTTTAAAGTTCCCAAAAGATGTGCTTGTAGTCCATCAACCCAGGGCCTTTGCTTTTGAAGAACATGCTTTTCTCATCTTTAAAGTACTACGTTTTCATATATTTTTGCCACATACAAAACAGAAAAAAGTTCATTATATACATCCTCTATTTGAAACCACAGGTCCCTTTTCCTGCAACAGTAGCAAAGATCGCATTTGATGTTTTTTGGGCCAAGATGTTGACCACCAGTCCAGTTGAAGCATCCATATTTTATTTACCTTTGGTTTCTACGTTTACTCTAATCATGCAGTTTAAAAGAAGGAAAAAAATCATAATGGATAATAATTTTTAGAAATCCTGTGAAGCAGTTGGTCAGTTCAGCGACAAAGTCTCACAAACTGGAGAGAATTCCTTTGAAGTGCGGTGGTCCATCTGAGCACATTCATTTGTTGTGTCAGTTTTGAAGATTATTCTCATTGTGTACCATCAAAACACAAACTGCCAGTCTGCTGCACATCTGGTAGTTTAGAGATGGAACTGAAGAGATGTGAAATGGAGTAACAGTGGACTTACAGCTGGTCAGGGGGGGTCAGGGGTCACAGTCGGCACTTCTTCTTCATACCGGCCGGTCCACAGCGTATTGGCAGGGGTTCAGGTTGGACACGGGGTTCTGCACTGCTGGGTAAGCGAAGTTGGTGTGCTGCTTGGCCTTCAGCCGCAGGCTGGCCAGGCTGGAGTTGCAGGTGTCTCTGTACATGTAGGGACTGGCTGTGGTGGCGTATGGGCAGGTGGCGGCAGTCACCGCTACTGAGTTGAGCGCCGTGGGGCTGTTGAGGTTGTTGAGGTTGCCCAGGTTGTTGAGCCCAGTAGCGGGAACTCCAGCAACTGCCGAGGGCACCATGCTAGAGGCCATGTTCATGGAGGGGATGGAGCTGGGGGGGGAGAACATGGGCTGGGATGACAAGGGGCTTACATTCATTGAATTAAAGAATGGAAAGCTCTTAGCGGAGAGTGGGCTGCTTGCTAGGCTCTTGGTTGCCCAGTTGTTGTAGGAGTATCCTGTGTACATGTCATCGTAGGGCTGCATGAGTCCATTGAACTGGGCACCGAAGCCATTTTTGCATAACTCTGCCTGCTGGTTCCTCTCCCGCTTTCTCCACTTGGCACGCCGGTTCTTGAACCATACCTAGAGAAAAGCAGAAAATAATTTCGGTCAACACTGTATTGGTTGTACCCTCTCTAAACTATGATACATCCTGTTAACAGCTGTTGCTCTGGTGATTGATCAGTTTTTTCACTAATCAAGACACTGAACCATGAAGTTGTTTCCAATTACAGGCGAGTGCCTTAAATGGCAACACAATGTGTGAGAGTGTGTGTGAATGAGAGGCAAAAACCTGTGTAGTGTTTATGTTCTTAAAAATAAGTGCATTTTATTTGCCATTTAAATATTGAAATAATTATCAATAATACAAAAGTCAAAAATTCAGCAAATGGCTGGGCATGATGTGCCATCACCGTTTTCCTGGTGAGCTCCTTCACCGCAAACCGCACAAAGATTTTTATTTTTATTTCATTTTTTATGTTCTTTTTTAGAAGTTTTGTCTATCCTTGACGATAATCATCAGTGTGAAAGTTAAATTGCAGTTGTGGTGACACACACTCACACACACACACATCATTCGAAGCTGCTGCAGTGTCTTGGATAGAAAGATGTTTTCACAACTCACTCGTACTTTAAAGTAATTTTATTTTTGCAAACAAGGAAAAAAATAGGATGATGGAGAAAATTATTTTAAAATGACTTTTTCCTTCAAAAACTGTCAGGAGTCAATAATGTGTAATTCCTAAGCACATCCAGTCAAAGTAACCTAACCCCTCTCCAATACTTTCAGTAATATTGTGTGCATATGTATCCAGAATTTTTGAAAGACACAATGATCCCAGAAAGTAAGTTGAAGTGTATTATCAAACAGTCATATTAGGCAAGGCTTATTAAAACTAATCATTCACTTATTTGAATAGTGAGATCCCAATGAAAGAAATGTCAGGAAAGGGCAATCTTCACATTTGTCATTTTATGGTCCTATATTTGGAGGATATGAATTGGATTAAAGCTTTAGTGGAAAATCTAAATTGAAGGTTTTTAGAGATGAAAACTGAACCAAGTTTCTCTGTGGGTAAAGTTCTGGACAAAGTTTTTGCTCTAAACTGGGTACAAAAGGGTAAAAAATGCAGAATGTGACAGAGGCCCCCTGGTCAACCGTTGACACTTTCATGTTTGTTTTTGCGTTAAAATAATTTGGTAAGAGATGTTTTATCTCTTTAATCCTCATAAAACTTTTACAGTCCTCTCTTGTGTTGATGCTCAGTTGCCTCTCTGGCCTCTTGGCTTACATGCTGTGTATCATCCAATCCTCTGTTATTATAGTAACAGAATGCTGTTGACTCATTAATATCAGTATAAAGTACATGACTCTGAGTTTTCCATCCCACTCAGTGACAGCAGGGAAAACCCCACCGAAGGACAGAAGCTACCCAATCTTTGCTGTGACTCAGAGTCAATGCTCTTTGAAGGTTTGTAGAAGGTTGAAAGTCAAGGTTGTTCTCATCTGCAGCCACTTTTGCATGTCTTCAATAAAACCGTGAAGCAACTGCTACAAAAGGAGACTGAAATGCTTTTGCTAAAAAGCACTGAAATGTATTTTATGTAAGTTTGAATCAAGCAGTCAAAGATTAATGACAGTTTTGGACCCAGCAAGCATCTTCTGTCCGTGAAGCGACTTTGAAATGTGTAAAAATGTATTTACTATGTATAACATTTACTATCTTGGATTTTCAAAATCATGGTCCTTGATATTAGATAACTCTATTGTGGAAGAATGTCCAATTTGAATGATCCGATGCAAGGACCAAGTGTGACATTTATATTAGCAGAATGACCAGTGTTAAGGGTTGAATGGCCCAGACTGAAACAGCTCAACATTTTTTACTATTAGATAGATTGCTCTGAGATTTTGTACAGACATTCATGGGTTAGAAATAGATCTATTACTAAGTACTGATTTACAAACAAGGAGTTTGCCTTTTAAGTAAGAGAAAAATTATATTTCAAAAGTCAGCTGCAATTATTACCATTCCCAAACAATCTATTCTACTGGCTTTGCTATCTTTTCTTCTGATATCATAACACTTAAGTCTTTTGGGTCAACCCTAAATAACCTGACAGATAATAAATGTAATGCCATAAAATGTAGGAGTTGTGGAAACTCTTTTGTATCACAATCATTGGGTCAGAATTGACGGTCCAATATTTACACATGTGGCCTTCACATCATGACAGTTCCCCTTCATCCTCAGCTGTACTCATTCCTAGATTAACCTTCAAAGGAGCTCCTGGACCTCTCCTGAATCCCTAAACACTGCCTCTGAGAAGGAACCCTGCCAACACCAAGTTCCCATTTAGCCTAGCAACCAAATCTGGATCTAATTGAACCGCCACAGCCATTGGGAGTGGAGCCCCTGGGCAGTTGACTACTTCGTCCAACCTTACCTGCTACATGTCAGCATTGTTCCATTAGCTGTTTTTGTGGCATATTTTGAATATCATGAAATAAGCAAATAAGAAATTTGATGGCTGGGGTCTTCACAGCCAGTCCACACTTATCAATATGTTCCGTCAGGCTGCAACTTTGATGATTAACAACAGTTTCCTGATAAATCACACGGACCAGGCTGACAGGTGAAGTATTTGGGGCATGTAGAAGTCTGTCTGCATGCAGGGATTTACAAGAGCCACTGTTGGACATTAAGAGCAAGACAATGTGTAGTTGGTTGTCCTTTCAAAATAACAACCAAGAGTGTGCGCTATGTGACCTTTCATCTAGCCAACATTAATTTGATCCATTACTTGTCAGGCAGGCAAGCGATTGTATTGTCATCTATCAGAATGCATGTCCTCCTGCTCCATATAGCTACAGTGACCAAAATGTGGCCACACTCTGTTGCACTCTGGCATTTAAGTTTAGTGTGTGAACTCAAGTGAATAAAACATCTTACCTAGTATATGATATAATACTTTTTCTTGATTTTTTTTTTGTCATTTAGGTTTTATATATTTTCCAGCAGTCCCTCTCTGTTTTTGGCATCTTGGGGGCAACAGAAACAAGCCGTAAACCTGACACTGACATGTTGACATATCACCACCTTTAGGTCACTTATGTGTCTAGCAAACATGCAGCAATATCTTATCATCTCTAGAACAGCTTTAAGTTAAACATGAGCAGCCTTAGAAACAGCTGTGACAAAACAAAATACATTTCCCTTAAATCTCACAGTCTCCCTCAATAAATGGAAGCACAGCATAAGAGGCGTAGAAAATGCCCAGAAGAATAAGGTAAGGTGACCAAAAGTGAAGGTTTTTGTCCGGATTCAAAGTTAACTACTGCCCACATTTCAAATGTGTTTAAAAGAACTAACAGCTTGGAAACATTTGCACAGTCATAGAGCCTTGGTGGGATTGAGACTAAGAGCAGTGCAGTGCACTTTCATTGATGAGGACGTTTTTTTAAGGTACCAGTGACAACATGAAGATCCATCCAAGAAGTCCGGTTGGAGTAACAGATCAAACACTGCATGAAGGTTAGTGATACTCCCACACAGGGCATTAGAACGCAGCACAGTGACAACTCATCTATCGTCTGTCACAATGATGGAGATGTAAACAGCTGAATTTTACATCGTAATTTACCCTGAATGTGAGCTTGTGAGTGGCCAGTGTGCTGGATGGTGTAATGTTGTGTGGGTGAACCTGAGAGCGGTATTACTTGCTTGCAACCAGCCCTATGTTGTCTGTCTGATCCCTCTGCTTTGGCACTGGTAAGGAGTAAGGTATGTGTGAACCTTGCCACTTGCCTAAACATCTAAAGCTTGTGGGTGACTCGAAAGATAAAATTAATTTATACTTGAACGTTAACTCCTCATGGAGATGGATTGTTCACATTTGCACTGGAAAGAGAGGAGATTGTAACCAAAATGAAAAAAAATGTCATGATGTTCAGTGGATACAAAATCAGAATTCATAATCATCATCTGGGCAGCATGCATATGAATAAAAATGTCACTGCAAGAGTTAAGACAAATACAACACATTGAAATTTCCATCCTTTTTAGGGGATCTGCATTAGAGCATGTACTGTTGTTTTTCAGGCTTTCGTTTCGACCAAATACTACACGGATCCTAAGCACATCCTCACCCACACCCAGACCTCATCCCTGAGAACAGCAACTAGAATAAAATCAGGTTTCTCTCTTCCAAGGGGACCAGAGTAGAGCTTGTGTACCCACCCTGACCCGTGCCTCAGTGAGATTGGTCCACACAGCGATCTCTTCCCTGGTGCTCATGTCAGGGTAACGGTTCCTCTGGAAGGTGGCTTCCAGCTCCTGGAGCTGCTGGCTGGTGAAGTGAGTCCTCTGTCGCCGCTGCTTCTTCTTCAGAGACCCGTCCTCAGCACTGGATTCATCCAGCTGGTTCTGGTGGGACTTCTCTGTGTCTGCAGACACACCGAAAGAAAGCAGTTTCCATAAGGACACTAGGAAGACCCGTGATAGTTCAGAGGATGACAGGACTGACCAATGAGAACAACAGAGCTGAGCACGAAAGTTCGTTTTTGACCCTCAAGGGAGTGGTTAAATAAAACAAGAAATTAGTTTTGTAGTTTCCATAATTCGATGCTGAGGTCATAACTGAGCAATGTCCACATGTATCTGGAAGTAACGCAATTCTTTGGAAAAGCAGCGTATCCTAGTAACTCTGTAATCAGTACATCACTTGTTCATAGATATCGTTTCATTATATTTGTAGAAACGCATTCACTGCCTGCAATAAACAATTAAGTCACTGAGCATATGTACTTACTGATTATAAAGAATGGTGTACATTTCAACTATAAATGAAATATTGCAAAAGCAATGAGCAGGAGGATCATTATAACTGGTTGTCAATATTTTAATTCTGTCACATATATAACTTGATTAAGCACAGCTCTATTTTATGTGTAGTAAACACCATGTAAACACAGTCCAAACTGAATTTGTAAGAGCACTAAAGGCCGACTATAAACCAGGAGGAGATGAGGCCCTGGGATTAGATGATAATGCTGCTGTTGCCTGAAGGCCCTACACACATACAGTATTAGTAAAAAAAAAATACATCTGGAAGCAATTTGTTGAAAACCAATTAAATTAGCTTCTGACACACAATATACACCAATTTTATTATTTTCTCAGGTACTTTGAAACCAACCAGTGATCCAGCGTTAAAAGAAAAAAACAAAAAGATTACTGACAGAAAAGCAGCAACAAGTTAATCAACTGATTCATTGTTTTCTTTTTTTTCTTCCCCTGGTTCTCTTCTTTTTTTTATTTTTATTTTTTATTTTTGGAGAAAACTGTCAAGATAATGGGCTGTACGGTGGCTCGGTGGTTAGCACCGTCGCTGCACAGCAAGAAGGTTCTCGGTTCACGTCCCGGTGAGGACACCCGGGATCTTTCTGTGGTGAGTTTGCATGTTCTCCCCGTGCAGCGTGGGTTCTCTCTGGGTTCTCTGGCTTCCTCCCACACAGTCCAAAAACATGTTGAGGCTAATTGGTGATTCTAAATTGTCCGTAGGTGTGAATGTGAGTGTGCTTGGTTGTCTGTCTCTAAGTGTAGCCCTGTGATAGACTGGTGACCTGTCCAGGGTGTCTCCTGCCTTCACCCTGAGTCAGCTGGGATAGACTCCAGCCCCCCTGAAACCCTGGTGAGGATTAAGTGGTGTATAGATGATAGATGGATGGATGGATGTCAAGATAACCTGGTTGCAAGTTCTCATGTGGATATTTTGCCATGAAAGTAAACTCAAACTCAATTTATGTTAGTTTTTTTTTTGGACATTAATAATCTACTGACTGTGAACAGAGCTGTTGGCTGAACCTTTATAGTTCACCTATGATGGAATATTACTAAATTACACTTTCCACCAGGTTCTCTGTATTCTTGTTATTTGACAAACAACAACGTATCATGAAACAGTTTTTTTCTATTATCACACAGGTCCTGTAAAGGTGTCAACAGCAATATTATCTTGACACCAATAAAAAACATCTTGTGCTGTTTCTAGTACAGGGACACTTTTACAATATTTTTTGAAGGACTACGGCATGGAGGTCATAATCCAATACAGGGAAAATAGAATCAGTTTGTAACGACAGCAAACCTCCCTGTTTGATGTTCATCTTTACATTCACAGTGATGGAAAAAGCAATGAAATGAAATGAAAAATACTTTATTTATCCCAGAAGGGAAATTCAATTCAATCAAAACCATGATGTAAAAACCATAAATTACTAAAGTCCTTGCTTATAATAAGGATGTATTTACACTGGTTTAGTCTATATTAATATATATTATACTCATTTATTTAGTGATTCACTATGTTTAAGTCTTAATCTACAAAGCAGCTGCTGTTGTTGAATAAATGTAGTAAAATAGCGAGTACACTCTGAAGTTCATTATTACATGTGAGCTCCTCTTCTGACAAATGATCAGAATGCTGTGGGATATAAATGTACCTAAAATCAGAACTCTTTTTCAGACAGGAGCAGAACTATTAGCACCTAAAAGCTATTGCATTCTTTACATGTGTCAGAATTTTATTGTGACACCTTGCAGCTGACATGCATCAGTTCTATCCAATCCCTGCTGAAAGTGACTGGATAACACTATGAGATGAAGCGTCATCTGAAATCCCTCCATACCGCAGGCTGGAAAATGACAAGCATGAGTGTGACGTTGCCAGGAGAGAATGACTGCAAACACTGCATTACATTCAAAGATGTGCAGGAGCAGTGAGTGATTGCATTTGGCCCCCAGCGCAGTGAGTTTAAAGGACCACACATCCATGTTATGTCTGCCAGGGCTCCACTCAGCCAGATCTGACTCCTGCAATTTGAGGACCTCACAGAAAGAAGTGAAATTAGTTGGCCAGTTAATCCCGTGGATCAGGCTTTTGTGACTGGGGCAGGTTGGGCTCTGTTTGGTGAGGGCCTAGCTCTCTGGGAGCAGTTCGAAATGATCAGCAGGGTTTAAAAAGAGGCTCCACAGGGCCACCGGCAAAACCAATAAGGGCCAGGCCGAGGCTGTTATCTGGCAGTAAACTGACACTGGGTAAGCTGTCACTTAAGGCCAAAGTCTATAACACAATACATAGGAAAGGGCAACCTTTTTTAGAGTGACGCGCTGACCAACAATAGGAGCAATCTGAGTGATAATAGACCGACATGACAGAGTTGTTCCAGGTCAGCGTCTCAGAAGGCTTTAATCTGGAAAACAACTTCAAGAGGCTTTTAACCAAATCACTTTTCAATGTCTGGAAAAAAAAACAACAAAGGTCAGAATATATTCACACATATCAAAAGCTGCAAATCAAAATGAAATGTTGACCAGATACGGACTGTCTGTTGTTTTGTCCAGGTTAGAGCTCTCAAAAGCAGCCTGTGGCTTTTTGTTTATTTCAAAGGGAAAGTTTATTATAATAGAACACAATCGAGTCGTGATTCTGTGCCTGGAGCACAGGCGTCAACTTAGTGTGGTAAGGTGTGGCAGCCATAATATTCTTCAGAAGAGCTGCGCACGGATCTAAGGTTGTATTTTGTGTTCATTATAAAGGAGAACAGAGTGAACGTTAAACTGTAAGAAATGTATTTGTCATGCTAATTTTTCTACAAAAAGGAAAGAAAAGAAAATCCTGGGGGCATAATGTAGAACTGCTGTTCAATAAGTATTGTTCAAAGGAAAAACACTGCAGAAGGCATTCAGAGGAGAGCAGGCTCGTATCAGAAAAGTCATTTTGCAATCATATTAATTTGTAAAGCGACACCAGGACATGAGTATTTACTGGAATCTTCTGCGCGTGAAAGAGTTAATCAGAAAGGACTGATGTCAGGAGCTTGCTAATGTTTCCCTCTGCTCCCTTCATAAAAATAAATAAAAGCCTACCATTAATGAAAAAATTAAACTAGAACACAGACGATCGCTGTAAGTGCACAAATGAATTTAAACGTGTACATTTTTTTTCTCAAAGTGGTGGCAATTAGATTGTGTTTGAGAAATCCTAAAGCATGAGCCTTTATGTATTTGGTATTTCTCTGGCCTGAATGTAGCCTTGTACATATGAAATCTCAAAACACTGAAATGAGTTTATATATCACCTATCAATAGGTGTTTGTAACTAAAAGGTTTTCTCATTTTGTTACAGGAGTGTTTTGCTATAATATATTTTCTTGAAATCACATTTGAGCTTTATGTGTAAATTGTAGCGATGTAGTAATTTGAAACTTTTATGGCAAAAAATATATATACTGATGACACAAAACATGTGAGTTAGATATAGGTAATTTAAAAAGATATATATTATTTGCATCATTTTAAATAATTCCAACAGGCCCAGGATTCCTTGGATTATATAGCCCATCAATAATGCATAAAAAAGTAAATAAATAAACAGACAAACAAACAAACAAACAAACAAACGCACAGGGACATCTGTGAGTAGGGCCTCGATGAATAAAATCAATCGGGTGTAAAAAAGCTGTGGCTCCATTAGAGGAAAGTCCACAGACAGCGAAAGCTTCTCCTTTTTAAGACGAAGGAGAATATTTAGAACAAATTTCTCTCCAAAACAGTTTGACAATTAGCACTGGATCTCAAACCACGCACAGTTTAGCGATCAGATTGGGTTACACACACATAAACACAGTCACACAGCGGCAGACACACACACACACACACACACACACTGATCGGTGCCGGTTAACGTCAACCACACGGAGGAAGAGACACGAGGCTTGTTGGACACATGCAGCCGATCGTCCTCACTTTGATTCTCTCTGAATTATCACGAAGTAGTCTCTATCAGCTTAATACACAATTTATGAGCGATCACGTGACCACGGTGCTGTCCATGTGTAATGTGTGACAGCTAAACGGAACCGTCCTCTGATGGAGCCGTGAGCTGCTGCTGCTGGAACTTCATCTGAACTTACAGATTCCAGCTGCACCCTTACAGTTTAACCATCAATCACAATTCGTTCACTTGATTTTTGATTATTGAAAATAGACGCGTGAAGCAGCGGACGCACGGTGGATCGGTCAGCACACAGCAGATGTTAACGTGTAGCACATCACGCCGACTCTGACGCTCTCCGGAGAAGTACGTTTCGCTCTTTTGCAATTAATTTTCCTATTCAAAGCCACACGGAGTTGTATTTGATTAGAGGCCATCGCCTGAGAGACGCGACTTCAGGATGGATGCGGGGCCTGCAGGCGCTCACTGTCACACACATCCTGCTCATCTGCTGCTTATTAACCGGCTGAGCTCGAGATAAAGAATTTTGTCTTCTATGCCTTTGAAATATATTAAATCTATTGCGCAGAAATACAGAGATTTCTCATTATTATTATTATTATTATTATTATTATTATTATTATTATTATTATTATTATTGGACCGTTTGTTGATATTTTTGCGTCCACAAAATTCATTCACAGTTATTTCCTGCGCCTTTGACAGATGTTTGACAGCATGTGGGTGAACATTGACTCACCGCTGGTGTCCTGGCCTTTACATCCCTGGTCGTGCTGCGGCGTCCCGGAGTCGGAGAGCGACAGTGCCGGGCTGCGGGCTTCACTGTCCGTCAGCAGGTTAAAATCCATAACCAGGCTCTGCAGACAGACACACAGACACAGACAGACAGACAGGTCAGCCTTCATCCTCCCAACATCATGGTCCACGATGTCCTTGTAAATGAGCAGATTCAGTACATTTGTTAGTGGATCCATCACTTCAGCTGTGACACACATCATACAGGTGTTCTGTCAACATCATCATGTTGTCTTTTCTGTTATATTTCATGTGGTTGATCATTTTCACCGACTCCCCCAAGTTTACAGCAGGCAGCTATGAGGATCACAGGTAGCTGCACAACTTACTGTACAAGCTTGTTTTGTATAAATCCCATATTCTGTATCTTGTTGTAGGAACAGCATGCTAATAACATTTAGAATCTTCAAGATAGTATTTTTAGTTTCATTATCAAGGCCTGTGACTGTCCAGTTGCCTTAATCCAAATTAAGAACATTTTTATCTTTATCGAACACAACAAAAAACTTTATGATTGTCTGCATACACTGTCAGGTTCCTGCCTCCTCTCATGTCTACATATCTTTTCGGCTACAAAACCAATTTCCTCTGAGGCAGTGCACTTCTAGTAATGACGCAAATACAACAAAATCTATCACAAAATTAGTTTAAGTCATTTCCATAGTACCTTCTGTTTGCCTAAAAGCATGATCCATCATATCTCGCGTTTTATCTTTTTGACCAAAGAACACCCATCTCGTCTTTTCCTCCAGAGACTCAGCACATATTTCCTTCTCCATCAGGGCAAAGTATCCGTTTATCTAAATCAATATAGGCTCCATTTGATGTGGGTTTGTGTGTATTTGTTTAATTTGTCAGTGCATTCTGTTTCTATTTTCTCTTCGATCTTTCCATTCACCCCTGGTTGTGGTTGTCATACCAATCCCGTTTATAGGAGGCTGACATAAGCAGCTATAACGAGAGCTGCCCTGAATTGCCTCTATTCTGGGCTACACGCGGAGAGCAATAGAGCTCTTGCTGTAAAATACACTATGACATTTCCAAGCCAAACTCAAGCCAGAGGGGTAGAAGTGTTGCTCAATGGAGCCCCAAAAATAGATGTGCATTTATTTATCCGAGAGCAGTTAACACCTTGAAAATGCTGAGGGAGGAGGGGGAGGGGGGGAACATACGCTTTGTCCAAACTGACAGAGGCTTGAGATGATGTATGGCTTCAGCGTGAATAATGTCAAAATATGACTTTATGTGCTTGATCAGATAAATGCTCCCTAATTCGTGGTGACAGGAAAGCATGAGACCTGCCAGAATGTCCTCGTCATGTCCTCAAGTGACTTAATTATTAAAAGCTTAAGGTAATGTCTCAAGCACTAGACATAAGATCATAAAAGTACAGACGCACATAGAGGAATGAAAGGGGTAAAGCAGACCAAATAAACTCATGCGACTATTTACCTGCCTTCTCTATTTACTTTGCATTTCCCAGGACATAAGTAAGTAAAACCTAAAGTTTACAGCTTCAGAGAAAGTCCGCTTTGAGCTTCAATGAATCCATGTCATCAAAGATTTAAAAAGGTGACACCCCTCCTCCCCTCCGGCAGGACTTGAACCGTCCCTGTTGACTGTTGGGATTGTTGCAGCCTGTCTGTTTTTATTCAGCATTGTGGTTACGAGCCTTATACTTAGAAACAGCAGATTTAGATTTTCAGGGGAAGGCGTATTTGTCACCCCCCCCGCCCCCTCTCCTCACCTCTCCTTGCCCCTTGAGGGAAAGCTCCCCCACCCTCAGTGTGTTTCCCTGCGCTCTGTTTGCCACCATGCCAGTCCTTTGTGTGCCAGTCACATGTGACTTGTGCTGGGTTAAATCTGAAGCCTCAGAGTGAGGCATGGAGCCACACACACACACACACACACACACACACACACACACACACACACACACACACACACACTCCCATCACCAACAATAACAAATTGTATAACTTAGTTAAACTCCTGAGTGAGACTCCCATCCCCATTCGAAGTTGTTGAATTGACTTTTTTCCCCCTCTGGGCTCTTTGAACATCATTGTATCCTTTATATTCTTCTTGTCAGCCGTTGTACAGCACGACTGCTTCTTCAGAGATGGAGGGGATAAATTAATATGACGAATAACATGTATCAGTGACAGCATTGTTTTATATATGGACTATTTGGACAAATTCACATTAAACCTCCTTATTATATATGTAATTACATATTAACTTATTTATCAAAATGAGCCTTCAAAGTCAGTATACTTTGTGCACAAATGTACAACTCTGTGCATCTCCAGCATACCGTATATCTGTTGAAGATTAATGCAAAAGTCAAAGCTTGATGATAAAGACTCCAACAGGAATATTAGACATAGTAAAGAAAGTCTGGTCATTTGGAGCATCGTCCTGCTGTTGTATGAAATATTACTTTTTTGTTTTTGTTTTGTTTTACACCCAGGCTGCAGAGATGATTATCTACAGTTTCACTGCTATTTTAAAAAAATTAAAATTAAAAAAAAGGTCACATGCTGAAACACAATGAGTGTACCTGAAGTTGTCCAGTGTAAGTGCAAAGCCTGTAGCACATGTCTTTGCTGTCTGAATATCACACATCCCAAACATCATTATGCCACTTTAGTTTCTATGAATTATGAATTTTAGGAATAACTAGAAATAGTTTGTGCCATCATGTAAAAAGGAAATCTGAGAGACTTCCGCTATATATTACATGAGGAAAATAAAATTCAAGTGTTATTAATTCTATAACAAAATTATTCAAATATTGTAATTGCTAATCGTTGAATGGATAGATTTTTAAAGGCCCACAATAGGCCAGTCGACTTAACACACGCAGTATTTCAACCATTCACTAAAGCTGGATATGAAAACTCAGTGGGCAGACTGCTTTGTCCCCTGCCAGTCCTCACACAGCTCCACATTCTGCTGCATTCACTAACTACAATGATTTCAATTTGGCACAGCAAAACACAAACATGAACAATGTCATCACTGTAAGACATCAGACCCTCACTTAACATTGTGTCGGTCACTCGACAAAGCAGCATAATGCAGCAGTAAAGCTAACCTGCATATTCTGATTAAAGGTTTAGCACCTTATTACCACTTGATATCTGTGACATCTGATCAGCGAATCAACATTTTCTTCTATCAAACACATCTTCTGGCTTATGTTTTTTTGCCAGAAAAACATCGACTCAACCATTAAAATGCACATTTTTCTCATCACAAGTAATCTTTGCCGGAGTCTTAAAAGAAAAGACTTGCATCTGGTTTTTGTTGAGCATCCATGAGAATGATCGCAGCATTTCACAAAAGATTAGAAGACAGGAAAATGGGTATTCTGCAGTCAGCCGGAGGCATTGCTGCATCCCTGGGAAAAAAGATGCAAGACTGAGGATAAGGTCAAGTCTCCCAGTGGAGAGATTACCTCAGTAAGCACACTGCCTCTGTGTTGTGGCTTTGGATTAATAAGCCTCTGATATAGATTTGTGGGTTAAAGTTGACTCGTGGGTCAGAAAGATCAGTTTCAACTTGTTCATAACCACACAAATATTGCTCATTTTATTTTTCTGTTTAGCAGAAAAAATTCATTGCAAGTGATCTACGTCTATTTTGTGGTACCGAGAAAATGTGACCTTCATCCATGGGCTTGTTTGAACAAAAACACTTGGTCTTATATTTGTCTCATTTTGTGTTGACACTTTTCAAACAACCCTAATCTGACATTTCAGCTAGTCTTATCTGACAGAGCAGTGTTCTGCGTTCAGAACCTGAAATGTTACAGGCAAATGACTGATCTAGCAAACACAACCAGCCCTCATGTTATCACCTTTGCTGCAGGATGCGCTTTTTCTTTTCTTTCTTTTTTTTTTCTTTTTATTTTTTTCAAGAAAGGGGAAACTTTTTCCTTTTAAATGGAGGTAAAACTGTTTTTCTTTCTTGAAAGTGCCACAACTCAACACAAATGTACAGAAAATAAAGCAACAAGCGATTCGTTCAACACCCAAGCAGCCTACAGCTACATTCAGCTACATGTAAGTCTCTGAAATGAAAAAGCAGACCAACTAATGCGTGTTTACCTTTGTCGTAGATGCGTGTTCGGTCGTTTCTCTGTGTTTTAAAATAAGAAAAAACTCCACAAACAGGTCCCAAGTCGCTGTTGGAACAGTTCAGTCAGGGTACTTGCCTGACAGACCAACAGCTGTCCCTTTGTGAGTGCACAGCCCAGGTCTAGTATCAGCAAGGTCCAGTATTTTGGTCAGAAATATGAATGTGAGCCAGTCCCGGGGACTATATCTGCTCTGGCAGTGATGGATGGACAGACGGCCTGGTGTCAATGTGGTGCTGAGAGGCCGGCTGGCTTGGCAGTGAGAGGAGCGCAGGTGATGCAAGCCAGTCATTTTATCTAGAACAAGGTGTCAGTACCCCAGCACACACCCCACACCCCCTCCCCCCCTCCCCACCCAGCTACACACACACACTCATCAGGGGTTCCACATGATTATATTTCCAAAATCAAGAGCCCCTCTCCCCCCCCCTCCCTCTCGGCTCAATGGCCAACAAGCTATCAGTGAGCTAACAAGCAGGCTGGGGACTGAGGAGCTGACAGTCCCACTGATCACTGGTGTGTTGATGCTGCCTCCCTTCACTGCTAACACATCCTCCTGTGAACCAACTTTTCAGTGAACATCACAAATGAACCTGAGCGGATGTGCTGTGGCTTCACTGTACATTTCAAAAGGGAGCAGGCTATTTCCTGGAGCACTTGTGGCGCTTGAGCCTCTGCGTGAAAACCCAGCTCGAGAGGCGCCGTGTGTTTGCTGTGACGGGGGGCTCCTGTTCAGAAATGGACGCAAATCAACAGCAAGATGAGAGTCTCCGGTTTGCATAAGCTGGAGCGCTTTGCATAAGCAGTCGCCCGTTGACACCAATCTCATTAAAATATATATCTGGTGATAATAATAAAAAATAATAAATGAACCAAAAATCCTCTCATTTTTCGGGAGATTGTCGGGTCCATCTGGCGGTGCGCGCGGCAGACTGCTTGCATTTCCACGGACTGCCGGCATTAGCCCGGGAATTATTCATAAACGCGTCGAGAATTAATTCCCGGGATTAAGAGTTGATTAAGATGTGTGTCACTTTGCTGTCTGAGAACTTATTAAGGGCCTCCTCGAAGAGGCGGCAGATGGAATTTCAGTCCAATGTTTGTAGATGTTAATTTCTGCCCTCCTATAACAGCCATTTGCATATGATTGAGGGAGCGAGGCTGCTGAGCAGCGCTGCAGCTGAATCACTGCGAAATAATTGGCTGCTCCAACCAATACCAGTCCTCAGCAGTAATTAACACGGAGCCTTTCCACGTCCAGACTCCATCAGAGATTTCACCGATGTGACTCAGTGTGTAAGTGTAAAACAGCGCCTGTAGTTTACAGCACATCCTGTCATCGAGAGAAATAAGCAGAGAAAAGGTGCATCTGTGACATAATGAAGCATCATTATTGTCCAACACATGAACAGATGCACTTTTCATTTTCTGTCATCATCTCACACAGATTATTTAGCTTCAAGTAAGTTTTGGAGTTATTTGTTTTGAAGGGAAAATATATCTAAAGTAATTATTGCGACTTGGAAAGCTTGTAAATGCATATTTAAGGTTGCACCTCCCGGTCATTTGAAGCGCTTTTAACCGCCTCGTTAACGTTGATTTACTATAATTGTGGGAGCTTAAAAAGTGTAAAGTAGCATTTCCCACCTGTTACGGCCAATGTGTCCTCTGTACAATAACAGAGAGAAAATATATAGTTATTTGAAATTAAATAAAGATTTCATTGTGTTTAACTTGCTGCTATAGTATTAAATGATGTTATGTAAAGTGCCATAATATTATATTATAGTATTTAATGTGCTGTTGTACTAGATTATAGTAAATAATGAGCTACAATATTATTTTAGAGCATATAGTGTATTATTATATTATATTGTGTTATTATGTGTTATTATATTATAGTATATAATGTGTTACAACATTATTATATAGTATAGAATGTGCTACAATTTTATATTATAGCATATAATGTGCTATTGTGTTATATTAGAGCGTATAATGTGTTATAATTATATATTATAGTAAGTAAGGAGCTATATTATTATATTATAGTATATAATGTGCTATAATGTTATATTATAGCCTATAATGTGTTATAATATTATATTAGAGGAATATAACGTGTTATAACATTACATTGTGGTATGTTATGAGCTCTGGTCGTCAGTACAGCAGTCGGGGCCTGTGAGGCTCTCGGCTGGGTGATAACCACTAAACGACATATTTACATTGTGCCTTGAGGCCAAACGTGAACTTCGATTAAACAAATCTCATTTTAATATGTCCTGACTTGGCAACAGATGCAAAAGAGGCAATAAACCGAAAGCTTACAGGGGAAGTGTAACCTAGCGATCCGTGAAAGGAAATCCACCTTGATTGGATGTGAGAGTTGTGAAAGTTGTTTTCCCCATGAAAACAGAGCATACACAGGTCTGATGACATTATTGGTCGTTGTTATTATTATTATTAGTAGTAGTAGTAATAGTAATAGCAATAGTAGGAGCAGTAGTTGTTGTTGTTGTTGTTGATGTATTAAATAAATGTAACCGCAGGATAAATCTTGAAATATCTTAAAATATGGTTTCGGGTTTTTTTACACTGAAAAAAATAAATAAAGCTGAACTCAACACAATTACAATTTGCTGCGTTTTTTCTTTTTTCTTTTTTTCTTTTAACGAATGTGGCAGAATAGGCCCCATGCGTAATGACGAACGAGCCTCGCTGTGGCAGCGGGCCTTCAGCGGCACAAAAATACAAATAAATAAAAGAACTTAAAGTCTATATTTTTAAAAAAAAATGCTTGGAAAGGCTGTGAAATGCAGTTGAAAGCAGGGGAAAACACTGATAATTTTTTAAAATTTATGTTATCATTATTATTATTACTATTATTGTTGTTGTTGTTGATTCCGTTTGTGATTTTTAAACATTAATAAGCCCGATATTTTCTGTCCATTTGTAGTCTGCAGCGTGGATGAAAATAAGAGCAGAACAGTGAGAGTAAAGCTGGATACGTGTGTGTTGGAGGTTTTAGGTGCGCGGCTCAGTTTTTTTTGTCTGCGGTCTCCTGTGGCCTCCGCAGCCACCTGCCACCTATCAATTTCCTCCACATCCCCAAATATTTTTGACCTCCCACATATTTTCACAACGGCCGTCTCTGCTTCGAAATTTTGCAGAAACCGTGACGGATGTTTAATCGCGATAATTCGGCGTGATGCTGCGGGAGAGAAAAAAAAAAAAGTCTTGACTGAGGTGTGGAAACGCCGCTTCACGCAGTTCCTAAACTGTCTCGACCAGCAGGCCTCACACGCGGAGAGGATCCGGCACCGGGACAACTTTGACAAGTGATAGAGAACAAAACACCAACATAATATTAGAGTCAAAATTAATAATTAGCTTTGTCTAGCCGATACGGAGCCTCGACAGAGCAGGTTGGTCTCCAACGGAAGGTGGAGGTGACTTCATCTGAGTCGCTTCTCGTCAGCATCATAATTTGCTCACAAAAGAAAAATCAAACTCCTGCTGTTAATATCTCACTTGTTCTTTGCGCTTTAAACCCTGAAAAGCTTCTTCTTCCAACTCTGTACAACACAAATCAAATGGCGATAGTATTTTTAAAAGTTGAATTATTATTTTTTTTTACCCATCACAGTTATTAAAGCCCATTCTGTCCATCTCGGCTATTTGGTCAACTTTTACGCACAAATTAAAAACGCACTGAATGGGTTCCTGAGAATTTAGAGAGAGAGAGAGAGAAAGAGTAAAGGGGAGAGGGCGGTTAGTTGCACTTACAGTGGATCCCGGTATGGTTAAATTAATCCGTGGAAAAGGCAAAGAGCTTTGCTGCGGGCTGATGAGTGTCCTGGCCTCAGGTTCGCTGGTGACATGGACAAAGTTCCACGGTGCGTCAAAAAAGTCAGAAAAACAGTCTGTCAGTCAGTTTCCTTCTTCTTCTTCTTCCTCTTCTTCTTCCCTCTGTGCTGTCAGACATGAGGGCTGAGGAGGAGTGAGGCATGATCCCCATACAGAGCAGAGGGA